CGAACAAAGACGCGTAAAACAGAAACAAAAGAGGCAAAAACATGATTACAAGGAGCTAATCTAAATACATTTTCGACACTAACTGACYGCTACAGTCATCGTCGTCAGATTCAATACGCTTGATGTGTTTAAAGCTTCGTGTTGATGAAAAAGAGCTTTCTGAAGAACTTGAGGACCTATTTTAATTTTAATAGGTCTTAAAAGATTGTTAATTGTAATATCAAAATGTCCTCCTTGAAATACTGCTCGACCAAATGGACCTGGAATGCACGAAGGCAAACCTGAGATGGAGTTGGACCTTGCCGTAAATGAAGACTCGCTCTCTGATACAGAAGTTGAAGTTGCTTGTAAAGACCGCTGTCTTGTAGATGTGCACTTTGATTCACTCAGTATCAAAGACATATCTTTTTGCTGTGCTGTTGAAAGGCTACAATAGTTATTGATGCTTTGAACGTTTTCGTGGCCCGATAGTTGCATAATATGGGACGGAGGGACGTTGTTGTCGTTCAATTTCTGAATCATTGTTTTACTGACGCTGTGATCTRTTAGTCGTCGCTTTTCATCAAGGCCTCCTTTTTCTGCCATAACTTTGATCAAACTATTCAGCTTATTAACTCCGACCGCGCTTGACTTAAACCACGATTTTTCTGATGTTGAAGTGTTCGTTATATGATTCACAGCCAGATAAAAAGACGCTTCGCCGTCGTTCATCGAGTCGGGTCTTTTCTTGGAGTAAACTTTGTAAACAAAAATTGGATTTCTTTCAGGTGGACCGCCTTGGGAAAAAGCTTTAGGTTTAACTGGTCTTGTATCTCGAGGTTCAGCTCCAGTTCTCGTCTTTGTTTGCCTTTCTACATCGGTAACGAGTTGAACGTCCCCCCATTTAATTTGACGATGCTCTCAATCCAAAGTGAATACAGTTCATAAACCAGAGTGTGTTAAGCAAGGACTCGGCATTTGAAATTCCCAATAAGTTTTTTTCGTACAAAATGTTTACTTCTACTTCGTCGGTTAGAGCTTCTGCTGCATTCGGCTTGTACAAGACTTCTTGTACTGGTCTTTTTTTTTGCTTTGGCATTCTTAAAAGAACTAAAAGAACTTATATCCCATGTCATTCTCTCCCATTTTCTATCTATCATCTTATTTTCTACCTTCTACTATTTCCTACTTTATCTTAACCTATACTCCACAGAAATATTGATATTTTCTATATTTTTAATTTATGAATAACACTTACCTTCATCACGGTTTGAACCACTGAACTCTTGCTTCATAGTCCACAGTACTACCAATTATAYCATCAAGGATTTTGTTGCTAGTGATGTTTGCAAATTGTTTTTATCTTAATTGTAATTTATTAATGAAGAAAGTATTTATATAATGCTGACTCAACCCTATTCTCGACCCAAAACCTAACCCAAAACCTGACCCAACAACAACAAACTTTATTCGCATGACTTGCCTTATTTACAAGTATTGCTAAAGTTATTTAAGTGATGATATAAGATAAATGATTTCAATTTGTTTTTGACAGTGTTTTTTGTTTTTTTGTTCTTCAATAAATCTCTCTATTGGTTTATCTAGGGACTTAAATCTCTTTTAATCAGACATATTAACTTGAATTTTCAAACAACAAACTTGAAAGTACAAAATTTTGTAAACAGAGGCAAAGCTGCCATTTCGCGTTGGCAGATGCTTTGTGATTGGACATGTGAGAAATTCGTTTCGCCATCCTGATTGGCTGAGAGCAGTCGCGAAATGGCTTTTCACACGGGTTAACTTTAGAAAATCTCAGTATGTATGAAATAAAGAAATATATTGATTCATTGCATCTGAATCCGCAGGTTTTCAGTTTTTGTTATAAATTTGAATAGTAAAGCACCGTTTGTTGCTCTCTAATAAACCCTTTTAGCGATCTCTTTTACGCTGTGTTAGACTCAAAACCATGTAATAAATTCTTTTATTTACAACAGCCCGTGCAACTGCAAGAGATCTGTGAGTATAGAAGACAATGGAAATAGTTTGAAATTTCACGAGTTTTATTTACATTTCTGAATATTTTAGCACACAATTGAGTCTAGTTAGTTAGTTRGTTAGTTAGGAGGATGACTCCGAGATTTGACAATGGCACTCCAAACGACCCTGTCTTCCATCAACGTAGCCAGCTCGTGTGAGCTGATTGCCCCTGTGTCGCGCTTGAGGGTGTCTACATAATTCGATTGAGGTCTTCCTCTGGACCGCGTTCCGTGAGTTGGTTCCCACAGGATCAATTTTTGGGTGCTTAGTTCAGGGTGGCGGTAGCAGTGTCCTGCCAGACGTAGTCTGCGCTCAGCAATCTTCACATCCAGCCTTGGTAACTCTCCGTACACTTCATCATTAGTAGTGCGGGAGCTCCAGTGCACATTCAGGGCTTTCCTCAGCATACGGGTATAGGCACCACTGAGTGATTTCACCATAGACTCCGTCATGGACCAGCTTTCACATCCATACAGCAAGATTGACTCGACTGTGGCAACAAAGAATCGTTTTTTCAAAACTGGGTTCATAGTGGACTTCCAGATGTTGGTCATGTCGTTGAGGGCTTTCCAGGCTAGTGCTTTTCTGATATTGACGTCTTTTATCGACTTATCAACCCAGGAGCCAAGATATTTGAAATCGTCTTTTTGCTCCAACACAGTTCCTGATCTGGTTACTAGAGGAGTGTGTACGTCTAT